CAGTGTGAACATGACAGTTATTTTTCATAAAATTCTAAATCCAGCGGCCAACGTGTCTGTTGGCGTTTGTCGGTGTTTGTCAGTGCGGTGTGAATTGGCCTTTACGTGTCATCCATTTATCCATTTCATTCATCCATGCATGAAGTTCAGATATATTTCAAGATATTTAATTATTTGAGGTGGCCCCAAATGTGCAGTAGAGCTTGTAATCACATTGAGAAACAAATTGATGCTGTCAGCTGTACTGGTTCACTGACTGGCTTTCCACACCAAACCCTGTGTTCTTTCTATTGTGTATGCAACTGCACATGTGTATCTGGAAATCACATTCACTGGGTTTGAGGGGCATTTTCAAATAATCTGTAAATCACAATTCTAACAGTAGTGCTCCACTAAAGTTTCCATCAAAGTATAGTAAATTTGATAAAGAACTTACTTCTCGAAGTACAGTACGTTCTGTAGGTATGCAGGCATGTCAGTGTCAGTGTGTGTGTGTGTGTATATATATATATATATATATATATACTGTATACACACACAGTGTCAGTAAACATATATACTATATATATACTGTATAGACACAATTCTTTGAACTGTCATGGAAAGAAAAAAATACTCTCCATTTAATGATTTAAAATAAAAGGAATCAGCTATGGTAAAACATTTGCTATAATATAACAAGATATTACTGATACATGTTGCAAAAAAAAAATTCTGATTGGGTGCTTAACTCGGTTAGGCACACATGTGTTCTCTAGTTTTTATTGACATTCAGGGACAGGTTGCTGCTGAGCCCACATGCAATCAAAACCTTCACCTCGATTCTGTATGGAGCGTGATTATTTTCAGTTGCTAGTCCAATCACAGTAAACGTAATTACGCGATGTAATTATGCAGTTGCTGCTATAATTGGTTGAACAGTCATGTGTGAACGGTGAGTACTTTCTGAGGCACTTGGGGTGCCCAATGTTCACAGTCAGTTCAGTTGATAATTTGCTGATCTTCACAGGTTTGCTTGTTAGTAAGTCCAGTTGCAGACAGAGTTGCTCAGTACTAGATGCCCAATAAGGGCATCAGGTTGATTACAATACCAGCAAAAGATTGGTTGTTATTGGGACTAGTCAATTTGGTCACTGCAGCAGAAGACAAAATTAACTAGTCCCGATAACAACCAATCTAATGTGTGTGGGAAGATATACAAATAATAATACTGACTAATATTAAAAGTGTGCTAGTGACAACCATCCTTTCCAACCTAAAATGAAAAGCTGTTGAATGAAAACCGATGCAAGTTTAGATTAAATGGCATTGTAATGTATTTTGTGTGATGTCACAAAGTTATTTCTCTCAGTATCTGTATCCAGTATCTGAGACGTTTTTTTTATTATTATTATTAGGGCATGACCTCAGTTAATGAATTTCTATTTTATTGAAGTAATCATTGTTAGGCTTAAGGTAGCATGAAGGTGATTGTTCAAAGGAGCAGACAGAGATTAAGGAGATTTTAAAAAAGTCTAGAATTTAGGCAAATCCCATTACATTCATATCAGTCTTGATAAACAGAGTTTTCACAAGAATATTAGAAGTGCTAATAGACTGAAATCTCATTGCAAGCAGAAGCAATAATCAAGGAGAGGCACACACCATGCATTTTGATTGTTAAAGCTACTTAATTTTTCCTCTCTGAAACAACCTCATGTAAAAATGGAATCATGGGAATGGAATCATATATGCTATGCGTGCAGTGGCTCATTTTAATGTTTTTTCAAAGTCAATATTCATAAGAGAATTCTGAAAGTCAAACTTAAAGTTTGAATGTCATTTTAAAATCATACTCTTCTCTTAACCCATGAAAATAACAGTGAATATTATAAAAAACAGATACGATGGTAAAAGCCATCTTCTCTCCCTATTTTAACATTATGCATGCTCAGTATTATGCCTGTTCTAGATTACAGGTACAGACAGCACCAATAACAGATGATCACTTTTGACAAATAAACCAATGCACCTTTACAGCTCTCTCTTTATGGAATTTCTTAAAGGTAGCTGATATTTCTTCTGCCTTTACACAAAATGGGTCTTAACAGAAACAGAAATGTTAAATAAACTGTGCACTGTGCACCTAACTTATAAACACTAAAATAATCACTGTAAAGCAGGGGCATTTCCTCCGAGGAGGCAATTGAAGCAGTGCCTCAAAATATTGTATGCGGAAAAATTTGTAGTGCAAAAAATAAAACGCAAATATTACAAAATATAACATTAAAAAGTGTATAAATCACTCGTTTTTCTAAAGAAACGTTGTCCAACAGCAACATCAGGTAAAGTTACAGCGGGAGTCTGCATTTCTCTTGCCTCCCCTGAACCCGTTGAGTTTTAACAGACCCCCTAAAGCAGGGCTGGGCAACTTCATTCCTGGAGGTCCACTGTCCTGCAGAGTTTAGCTCCAACCCTAATCAAGCACACCTGAACTAGCTAATGAATGTCCTCAAGATCACTAAAAAGCTACAGGCAGGTGTGTCTGATTAGGGTTGGAGCTAAACTCTGCAGGACAGTGGACCTCCATGAAGTTGCCCAGTCCTGCCCTAAAGCGTGCGGTAAGTTTGGTGGGGGTAATTGAGAATGAATGGGGTAAAGTCATGTGAGAGGAGGCAATGCCTCCATCGTGATATGACTGGATATGACTGGTTATGATCGACTGTGATTGGTTCATGCGATAAATACCGCCTCTTGTGTTCCTGCATGTTCCGCATTCGCGAATCAGTCTGAATAAACAATATAATGCCGTTCAATGGAAGACTAATTAAAAAAAGTATGTAAACAACTCACACACTTACTTATAAGTCAAGTCAAGTCAAGTCAAGTTTATTTGTACAGCGGAAAAAAAAAGAAAAAAAAAAAAGTTAAAAGTTTTAAAAACTATTAAAAATAATAGCTGAACATAAGTTCACAAATAAAATATATTGTTTCAATTGTTACTGCCTTGAGTTATTGCTTTGGAATAAATGTAAAATGCTTAAAATGCTAACTTGATTAGATTCATACTTGGCTTTAATACATAGAATATTAATTACATTGTTAATGTAAAAATATAAAGTTTTTTTCATTTTTTTCTGATAGTGTAAGTAATGTTTATTTAACCAAGAAAATGTGACTGGGACATTAATTAAAAAAAAACACTCACATTTGACTAATCTACATTATATAACTGCCAAAAAAAAAAAAGTTATGACCAGTCTTAAAGAAAAAAAAAAGATGACTAACTTCTAACAAGTCAATGCATTTTATGCAACCAACCCCTGAACCTATAAGGACAATATCTGATCTTCTGGAAAATAATTGTCTCTGAAAGAGAAATTGAATTGCACAGGGTGCACCAAAATCACCAAAAGCAACATATAAAAATTCACAACAAAACAATATAAACCACAATCAAGAGAGCTGATACTTCTATCGATTTTAAATTAAACTTAAATAAAACGATTTACATAGCCTTATAAAACCCCATTATTTGGAAACATTTACTGCCCAGGGAGCAGGTCAATCAGAGCTCAGAAAAGTTTGACCTATTAAGCAATAAGAAGTATGGGAAACAATATTCTTCTAAAACCTGCCTCACAAAAGTACATTTGAATTGGCAAAACTATACTACTTTAACAATAATAAGACAACAAATCATGAAAATGTGAATAAATATAACATTAAAGGGAAATGTCACATTACATGTTGTTCCAAACTTGTATACATTTCTTACTTCTGTTGAACGCAAAATAATATCTTTTAAAGAATGTTAGTAACCAAGCAGTTGTTGGGAGCCATTGACTTGCATAGTATTTTTTTCCATACATGGAAGTAAATGTGGATCAGCATCTTTTGTGTTCAACACAAGAAAGAAACTCATACAGGTTTGGAACAACGTGAGGGTGAGTAAATGATGACAGAAAAAAAGTTATGCACATCAGTATTTACATAAACGTATCATGGTATTACCAATATTCATGGTACCACCACACAACTTATCTGAAGAGAATTCATAATTTGAAAAAGTTTTAATACAGTAGCGTATGCTTTTCTGTTATATAATATTACCACAAATGTTTTTTGTTGTTGTTTTATATTTTTGAGTTGGAGAAAGCATTTGCATTTCACAGCAAAGAGGTTTTAAAGGTCTAGCATCCTCTCATGCACAGAACCAATGAAAGATCTGCACCCTCGTGAGCGTCAGGTAACCATAGAAACAGTCTCAACTCATGCTGCTGATGCTGCAAAACCTCCGCCCACTGGCAAACATCACAATAAACACTCCAGTTTGTTACAAAATAATTTGCATAAAATGCTTGCATGGATTTATTAACCTCTTCATGTTGGGCATTGGTCTGCAGCACGAACATAAGCAGCAAGCACTTGTTGTTCTGGGAACAGACAATAATGAACAGATGGTGGCTTCAGTAGTCAGATTAATCACACAAAGTCGTGACGGGACTGTGACAGTGAAGAAAAGATGTTAAACGAGTTTCAGTGCTTTGAATTCGCCTGAATTCAGTGCTTTCGAATTTGAATTTTTGAAAAGCCACGGGACAAACAAAATCCTTCCAGTCTGAAGTGGAACTTTGCAAAGTAAGTTAATGGCTTCTCAGTTTTATCTCTATTTGTGTCATGCCAATCACCTGGATTCTAGAAAAAAGATTAATTTAGAGGTTTCATTTGATAGAGAAGATGTCTCACGTCATAATCGATGGCTGTGGGCTGGTAACAGCTTAAAAGGTAAGTCATAAATTGTGAATAATACTAAAAATAGTCAGTATCATTTTGCGTCTTTACAGAGCACACAGTAGATTTATCAATACTGCGCTCATGTCATATATTATATTTATAGAGCTGATGGGCTGTCAGTGGGAAAGATACAGTTACTGAATTAACTGAAAAGCTCATATTCCTGGCCTTGGCCTTTTATTACACATTTAATATGTGGGTCAATATTTTTGTGCAGGAAGTGGCTTTACTGCCATAATTTCTTTAAAACAAAGAATTGCATGGATTGGAGTCCTGAAGCATATGCTTACCCTCAACATTACTCCGGACAGAGTGTGAAAGCACAAAATAAATTCACAACTCTGAGTGTTTCAAGAAATGATTAACCATATATAAAAGCATTTGGATAATTGGATTAATTCAAAAATCGATACTGTGATCATATGAATAGCCATTAACAGCTACTTCATCATATTCTTCTCAGAGCCTTTTTAACCTGCAATCTTTCTCTCATTCTTAAAGTCCAGGTAATGTTTTTGCTGATTCAGTCCCTTAAGAATGAGGGCTAAAGCAATATTCAGCTGCATGCTAATGTGGGGTGTAATTTTATGCTGGCTGAAAATGTGATTATCACAGTTAAAGTTGAGCATCAGGTGGTAAAGTACGCTCAGATATTGGCTTTTCTGGTGCTATCAAAATGTTGATAGCAATTTCTTTATGAACTGTCAGTCAAGATTTTGGAAATGGGTTTTTAAATGAACCTACCATGTGATATTTTGCTCAAAACATTTCAGATATTGTACTATTATCCGAATACAGGCCTGTACAAAATGCCTATGCTTGCCAAGCATACCATCTGGATAAGAAGGCCAACATAAATGAACTACAATAGATTGCATACTGTATATTGAATTTAATAGACTTGTGTCAGAAACCCTATTCATGTCTATGTCTAGTCAAAAGGTTACTACTCAGCTCTTAAGAACGGGTTTAGACTGCCAGTGCTACAAGGCTGTTCAAATAGCAGGTTAATCATGATTTAGCTTTGGGACTTTTGTGGCATCGATTCTTTCTAAGGCTTTTCTCTCTGGTTTGAGCACTGGACACAAATGGGAGCACTGAGGATTATTCAGAGCAGAAAAATGAGAACTGAATCTAAACAGCAATATTCTGATGAGAAGCTGTAGTGAATGCATTTATGAAGTAGTCCTTAAAAATCTATACTAATAATTCCCAATCCTGGTTCTGGAGGCCCCCCAATTCTGCACATCTTGTATGTTTCTCACCTGATTCAGCTCATCTGCTTCTTAGCAGAGCGCTCCATTTCCTAAAATGAGTGTCAAATATGGGAAACATGACTTAATTGAGAATCACTGAACTATACATTGACATTTATTCATTTAGGCTTTTACCCAAAGTGACTTACAAAAGAGGAACATTACAAGCAATCTGTCATAGAACCAACAATATTCGCAGTATTCAATGATAGGTTTAGTAAGAAATACAGTATTAAGAGTTGAAAAGAAAAAGCCTGTGCACCTCACTCAGAGTAAAAAAAATAAAGCAGGTAAAGTTAAATATAAGAAATAAGGTCACATTGTGAGACTTGTAGTTGTAATTTATGGGGGAAAATTCACATTTGCGAGGAGTAAAGATGTAATTATTAGGGGAAAAATCACTACATTAGGAGTTTCCCTAAAGTCATAATTATAATCATAATTATATTATAATTAAAAAAAAATCATGAAAAAAAATCACTACTTCAATACAACCTCAAGTACAGTGGTGAGTTTTATGTATATAGCTTAAAGGGGTCATATGATGCGATTTCAAGTTTTCCTTTCTCTTTGGAGTGTTACAAGCTGATTGTGCATAGATAAGATCCCTGAAGTTGCAAAGACTAAAGTCTCAAAACCAAAGAGATATACTTTATCAAAGTTAAGACTCTGCCACGCCCCCCTAAAACGGCTCGTTCTAACACGCCCCCACATATCTACCTCACTATGTGGAAATA